GCCCCCACCGGCCGCGTCCCACACGGCAGCGCCCGACCCGCCGTGTCCCTTACATTCCTAGACAGCGGAAACAAAACGCACGGCTGTTTCCACCCTCAGTCGCTGTGGAATGCCCGGCCCTCCCTGACCAAATGCTGTCTCCGAAACGCCACTGGTGGCAAGATGCAGTTCGAGTGTATCGAGGAGAAATAAACTTTTTCCTCCCTAAAAAAAAGCCTCTGTTGCTTTGTGTCAAATAGTAATGATGATGACAATAATAACTGCTCATGCATATAACATTAGATAACTCGTTTAATCTTCACAAGAACCCAATGAATCAGATACTCTGAATAAGCCATTTTATAGATGACACAATGGACGAGGAGAGGTGAAGTAATTGGCTCAAGGCTTCCAGCCGATGCGTGGCAGAGCGGGGACCTGAGTGCAGGCAGCCTGGCCACTCCTACGGCTTCTCCTACAGGTCGTCCCATTCCGGCCTGGCCCATCGTTCCTCAGCCTTGTTCAGGATTGCAGCCGCGTAACCATGCAGCCTGAACATGGCGGCTCGCGCCCTCCTCGAAATGGGGGAGCTAGTGGCTGAATGGTGGTACCTGCACGTGACCCCTGGCCTCCCGAGCACGGATGGAACCATCTGAATCGCACGTGAAGGTTTACTTGTTACCCAGTGGCGATTCTTCTATGAAAGCACAGCACTTTACTCAACTCACAAAGCCTAATAGTTTCTACAGTCTAGTTACCATAAGAAAAATTATTCACTACAAGAACAGGGTTTAAGGAAATGCAATTTGTCCCAAGCAAGCAGGCTTCTCGCTAAACTCTCTACAGAAACAGGTTCTCCCTCCACTAACCCTGGTCTTAGTGGATCAGAGTCCCAGATCGTGGCAAGCTCTGTCAGGCGCTAAGTAACACCTGTGGCCCTCCTTGGGCTCTAGATGTAAAATGGATCTATCCATATAATTCCACTTGGGAACTGAAAACTGGTGTCTGTGTGAATCCTGTTTCTTCCCCTCCAAACATTCCCCATTCATTTCACATTTTCCCAGCAGGAAACTGTGATCTTGAGCACTGGATCTACTTCTGTCCACTGACCAGACCCAAAGCCAGTGTTTCCCACTCCAGCTGGGGCTGCCTCTGGGGAGGGTCCCTGACGCACAGAGCCCCTTCTGAGTGCTACACTTCTTGTAGCTCAGCCGGCATCTGGTTCTCAAAGCGTGAAGGGAGAGACGTGTAGTCTGGAAGCCTTTTCCTGATATATATCAGGAAAAAATATATATATTTTTCCTGAAATACATATATATATA